CTGCTCAAACTTCGAATGCAGCAATAAGCTGCAGGAATGAATGAGTTTAAACCATCTTTTTTTGGTATACTATCTCACTGTTTTAGTATAATTTACACTAAAATAACTAATTAGAATAATGAAAATTTAAGTTACTCCAATGTCTGACGACACTAGTCACTTACTAGGAGGGGTAAACCTTCAATGCCGTGTGCAACTTCTTTCGGATGTTTGTTTAAGAACGCTTGAAAAGTTAAATTTTTTCCCCAAAGAGATCGCTTCCATTTGTTTTCTTTGGTTAAAGCCCTGTTTCGCAACCAAGATGTGTTTCTCAAGTGTCATTTGAAAATGGCTCGAAATTAAACGGTAATCAGTAAAAATATTACGACGATAACCAAACCGGATGGAACACTAATGACTACTTATCGAGGCATGTACAGGAAGTTATAATTTAACAGATCAGTTTTGTAAATATTATATGTAAAAATGCTTTTTGTCTCTAATATGTATGAATTATTTTCTCATTGGGTTTAAACTTTAACCATTGCGTGCAGGGCTGCAAATTTTACCGTAAACCGTCCATAATATGTCACCCAATGTTATCTCTAAAATCATCCAATTGCAAATATTTCAGGAATATAGTTTGAGGCTATGCTGTATCTAAATAATCGATTTAAAAATGCATGAGACAACTAGAAAGTGATTTTCAATCTTCTTTTGATCCTTTTTTAATAACAGATGGTTCATTTAAAGTGAAAGCAAGTTTTATAGCTTCCCGTTCCATCTATATGCACTGAATATCTCTTATCGAAAACAAATAGGGATGGTTCGAAGCTATGCTGTAAATAAATAATCGATTTAAAAATGCGCAAGACACCAAGAGAGTCATTTTCAATCTGCTTTCGATCCTTTTTCAAGAAACACGGTTGATTTAAAGTGCAAGCAAGGTTTATAGCTTTCATTCCATCTAAAGTTTTAATTAAAGATATTCAGCGCGGCCTGATTGTGGGTATCTCAAAGTGTTTTACAAACAAACTCAAGCTCTCAGAAGAGGTAAGTTGTTGGCTCCCGAGCCTTACGTT